TTCTGCCTCTGCACTGACGAGAAGGGAGTTCCCCAGCCTGTAAGTATGCTGCTGGTTCTTCCTCCCCAGGTGCAGCACCTTGCACTTGTCAATATTGAAACCCATCCTGTTCTCATCTGCCCACCCCTGTAGCCTGTCCAGGTCCGATTGCAGCCTATTCCTCCCTTCTAGTTCCTGCAAAGCCCTTGACTGGGGCTCAGGGATTGGGCTGGGAAAACCCCTTTTTTTTCAGGCTGGCATCTGCCTGCACAGTCTGCTCTATGGGGGCTCCAAGCCCAGCTCTGGCAGCCGCTCATACCAGAAGTGCTCCCCTCCTCCCCCACATGTCTCTTTCACTCCTGCTGCCACCCCTGGCCCATCACACACACATATAGAGTAGAGCCTGCTGCTACCTCAATCCCTACCCTGCCCATTACCCAACCCTGCTGCCACCTCCACCCCTCCCCCCAGCCCATCATATCCCCCAAGTCATTTCTGGGACCAGGAGTCCCCTCAGGTTCCCACTTTGGGTTCAGGGAGCCCACTTCTCCACACAGTTCCCCCCCCTCAACACACTCACCCCGACGTGCACACCTATTGGGCTGGGTAGGCTTTGTGGCTGCCCCTGGCTTATGGTTTACTGCCCATTTGCAAGTAGCTCTTGCAGGCTGGAACTCTGCCAGCCTGCAGAGAGCTGTTTGCAAATGGGGAAACCCAGAGTTTCCCCTTTAAAATGGGAACCTGCATTTTTCCATGGAAAACAGAAAACTCAGATCCCTGCTTACCAGGATTTCCCATAGTCCCTGCCACAGTCTCTGGGTCCTCCTGACTCTGCTGCTGGCCTGAAGCTGGAATCTGGGTACCTCAGCCTCTGGGACACAGGCACAGCTGACCCCTGTGCATGGCTGCAAGGCAGCCTGCCTGGTCCTGGTCCTGCTCCTGTGCCTCAGCCCAGGACAGACCCTAGGTGCTTGGCAGGCTCTGGAGCAACCCAGGACAGATGCTGGGTCCCAGCCAGCTCTGGAGACACTGCCAACAGCCCTGCCCTGCTTTTATTTTATCCAGCATGCTGGAGCAGCAGGGGCATGCTGTAGCTATGGAGATCCTCTGGCCGGGTGCTAAAGCATCTCCTTGGAGGACCTGGCCTCCAGTTGCTTCCAGGCAAACTCCGAGCACACGCCTCACACTGCTTTTTTCTGGCGCTTTTTTTTTTTTTTTTGATACTGGGATTCCCTGGACCAAATTTAGAGTCCACACTGCAAATATGCAGCACAGGGAACATTTTCTAGTTTATGGGGTGCCTTCTGCAGCATCTCAAGCTGCTTTGAGACACCACAACAGACATGTGCAAGCTCATGTGGATGCTTCCTTGGGGTGCATACACACATTTAGGTCGACTTGAAAGAAGGCAACTAAACTAAGCTGACTTAAGTTAAGCCATTTCAGAGCATACACAAGTACAACTCCGTGACATGGTGGCAACCATCTTGTGATACATAGCAATATCAACTATTGTGACTCAAGATAATACACATCAGAGGTGTATTATCTTGTGCTGCATTTAAGTTGACTCTGCTCCACATACATGCATATGCTTTGACAGTTAAGTCAACTTAAAAAGGTTAAATCAATTTAACTGTCAGAAAGTTAGTACGCGTGTACGCCCCCTTGGATATTACAGTGTTGGATTCTTCTTGTGCTTCCATCTTCTCCACTGTCTTAAAACCAGTTGCAGAAGAATGACATAGTTCCTAATGCAATGTGGTCTTCTAATGTTACAATGAAGCAATGTTCTCCTAAAGTTTCTGACCAGGTCCCTTACACTTTTTTCACAATCATTTATAGCAGTTGATCAGATGTCAACAGTGGTGCCTGATCAGAATTGAGGAAATCTGATGCTTGTTTCACAAGATTCATACCATTACAAAGCTTGATTTTTGAATAGGAGCTACATAGAATGGATTGAACTTCAAATAGCCAGATCATGAACTTTCTGCATGGCATGCTAACCAAGGGTTAGTGTTGTGTCAGCCACAACATACATAAATAAGAAGTGGCTCTACTATTTTCATTGATAGAGTTGCTATTTCCAGTTACTCATGTCTAGTGCAAGTATGGAAGTGTCTTTGTTCTTCAGTATAGCTGGCAGCAATATTGTAATTATGTTTTTAGTTTTGACTATGTGCAAGGCAATGCAAATCTATTCAGAATTTGACCAGAGTTGTAGGCATGTGGATACTGGAGCAGTGAAATACCAGTCCCATGAAAAGTACTATCCATCACTGCTGAATTTGTGTTATGATATTAGCTGTCACAGGCTGCTATGGATTTTTGTAGATATGGGTTATAAAGGCATTATAAATTATTCACTAATAGCATGAGCCATGTCATCTGCTACTTACAGAACTCTGTCATACAACACAAAAGCTGAGATCAAACACTCTGTTAACAAGATTGAATAGATACATTTGACAATAACATTAAGCTAACTAACATATATGGTAAATAGGAGCTTCCTGATGTTGTTGGGTCATTTGGATACTGTATTGCATAATTATCTTCAACATTTACAAGTTAAAAGCCAAAAACTACATAATACTATTGCAAACCTGCAGCTTAAAAATCTTTCCACGATCAGTTTTAGACATGTTCAGTCAATTTACATTTATCATTATAAGCTAAAAGGAGTTCTCGATAAGGAACCCTATTGCTAATTTTAATTGAAAGTACTGTCAAAGCGTGTTGAATTCAAGCCATATCTGCTTTTCCATATTTACAGCTTTATCAAGATAAGCACCCTCATCATCACTGCTATCAACACAATCATCATGCAGCATTGTCCCAACATTATCATCAAATGCTGTGAAAACATCTTGGCTTTTCTTGTTTGCAAATAAATTTGGACAAAATGATACAAGTCTATTCTTGAAATCAGTACTATGAATACATCCTCTACATGCTCACCAAATTATTCTAAAAAAGTGCATTAGTCAATTCGGCTAACCTTGATATGGATGTTTTGCCTTATGTCTTCTGTTCATTAATGAGACAATTTCAGCGAACACGAGGTCATGAAGGATTCCAGCAGAATTCACTGAATAATCTCTTTTTCACAGTTGTGCCTTATAGAATTAACTAAGACAGCTGGCCTGATAAACTGCTTCTATTGCTAGCATGTCACCAGCACTTAATTTTGCCAGATTTGCTTTCCCTTGAATATGCCACAATTATCTTAACAGAACACATAACTTCAAAATTGTTACTAAATGCCAAGACAGATCCAACAAATCATTATCACTAAAGAAACTGCACTGGTACTTTCTTTTGTATCTACATTAATTATTTTAGATGACTTTCTTCTGGAAATGGGAGGGCTGAGGTGGGCCATCCTCAGATGATTCAGTGATATGTGAATTCATTTGAAGCTTAAGTTAAATTGTACTTTAACTAGCAAGACTTACACCACTTTCTTTGTTCATTAAAAGATAGTTTTAATTTCATTTGCATTGTTTAAGCAGGTTAGAAGAGTCAGTATACACTAAATATGTGGAAGCCTCTTGCAAGAGCTGAAGTCCTATGACCTTGTTTGAACACTGGCTTGATGCATCTCATCTGCTAGACACTATTATAACCCTGCACTTTTTGATTTTTGACAAGTCACACAGCATTCAAGTTGACAAAAACATCAGTACTAGAATTATCCATGATCTTTGAAATAAACAATTGCAATTCTCTGGACTAATTTACTTTCACCTTTTTTAAAGCATTTTAAAACTCCCAACATAAAGTCATTTTCTCATGTCAGTTATTTGCCACATGTAGGAAGTGCGCTAGTTTTCCACATGTGGACTATTGTTGTTGCATAGTATGTGTTGCTAAAAACAAGCTACACTGCTTGCAGCTGTATTTGGGTCATTCATTCCACAGATATATATATGTCTACAAAGCAATCTGAGCACCTTGCCTATAATGGGATCTCGGGGAGAATACTGATACACACAGTTTGCAACAAGCCTGGTATAAAAAAGCAGTTTTGGAAACTAGTATTTGAGGATTACAATGGCTGTAATAACCTGTAGTATTTACTGATTTGATTCCTTGCTAATTCCATTAGTATGACATCTATTTAAATAAAATTATTTTAAATGATAGATTTGGTCTAGAAATTCGGTTTCAGCAAAAAACCAAAACTTCCTTCACAGATGACATTATTCTGATAAAATAAATTATATCTATTACAAATATACAAGGATCTTTGATATTATAAACTGAAGTCAAGTCTCCAAATCTTAGATTAATCAAGACATTTATGCCAGTTTTCATACTTTTAACATCAAACCCACAATTCAACCATTTTGGTCACATACTAATTCCATGATTAGGGGAGCAAGGCACCCTGAATTTTGGCTTAAGAAACTGGAACTAGATCCCCTTTTGAATGCATAGAAAAACAGGGGCTTTTAGAAATTGCTGCTAAGTAATATTTTGGCTAATTTAATTTTCATTTTAGCTCACTTAAAAAACCCTTACTTTTAAGGATTTCAAGAGTCACTGCCTATCTCATACATTCCACTGTTGAATCACATAGTCTGATGTAGTTTAAGATGACAATCAAGATTGCATCTTCTTGTTTGATTGTTAAATTTTTAATTACACACAAGACGCTTAGCGTTAGTAACTTATGCTTAGTTGTAATTAGATGTAGTGATTAGAATGTTATATTAGCACATTTTTTCTGATATCATTACAAACAACTGCACTATTGGCAGTGGAGACCTCCAGACAGGACACTAACTCATTCAATAACTTCAGGAGAGTCAATTTACCTCCCTGCAATGAATGCTCTCTATAAAAAAAATGAAGTTGTAGTGCTTAATATATTGTAAAATGCTTTGAAATTATGGTTATTCAGTGCAGTATAGTAACACTGAGCAATTCTGCCTAACTTGAGAAAAGTTGGGAAAGGCACCTTAAGACATGAGTCGTTTTTGGTAGAATCATTCTCATTTGTTGCTTTACAGGTGTTGCTTCCTATTCCTCAGAGATAAGTCTACCATCTTCACAAAAATGGAGCAGGAACAGGAGCAGGAGCAGGAGAGGTGACAACACTGCCACAGATCCTGTTTCTACAATCACTCTGAAGCCTCCCTCAAGGAAGCAGTCAGATTCAAATAATCCCCAAACTGCAAAACACTTGTTTGATCCTTGGTCATCAATCCCAGAAGTGCAAGCAAAACCCATCCAAAATACCTCAAAACTGGACTTTCTTTCTTCTAGTAGTGAGGACTCTGTGGAAACCATTTACCTCTCTCCTACATTCAACACCACGGATCCTGTGGAGGACAGCGGAACCAACATTGACAGTCTGAAATCTACTCCAGCTTCCTCTAAACAATTCCCTGGGCCTGTTACATCCACTTTCAATAATTTCAACGCCTCCATATCTGGAAACATGCAGACAGCTAGCATGACTCTTCATCCATCTCTAAAGCTGGGTGAGTTTGTGCATTTCCCATCATTTGCATTTAAATTCCTTTATTAGCTCCCCTTCCAGGCTAGATCCTCTTTCTAGTTCTTGAAGAATGTCAATTAGGTGACAGTACTCAACTCAAGTCAACCCTAACACATTTTATACTTTAAAAAAAGATACTAGTACTATCTCCCGCTAATACAGACAGTCTGCCGTTTCTTGTGAGGTGTACAATCTAATTGTTCTAAGCTGCTTAACTGGCAATCAGTTATCCAACAGCTAAGTAACAGCTTTCCTTTCAGTCATTATATGCAACATTAAACATCACTAGTCAGTGCAAACGTTTATAGAATACATCTAGTAACCAGTTTCTCTGTTTACCAGAGCACTTGAAATTTACTTTAGGTGAGTTTAGTGCTGGGGAAAAGTGCTAAGATTATGAACCCCCAAAATTGAAATTTTGCAGTTACAGAATAGATAGCACATGGTTAGGGACACAGCAAAGATTTCCTTACTCCCATCCTCTACTCTTCTTCAACTCCCAGACTTTGACAGGAATTCAGTTTCCATAGCCCATTCAAGACTTGGCTCTGTTGAGACTGCTAACAAGGAGGACTAAATAGTACCAACCACTTCACTATTAATTGAACAGGGACCACAAACTCATTTCACCTAAGCCACTAACAAACTATCAATAATAATAAATGACTTTTTGGTCTCTGCCAACATGAGATTAATTTGAAACAGAACTAAAAGTTTCCATATCCCCCAGTCCTCTGACCCACCTCATATTTGATACTATGCAGCTTGATAAGTTTGACAGGTGAACAAATGAAACCCATTTGTTTTCTTCTCACATGAGAAGTTTTCTATAAACAGAAAAATGTCAGGAGTTAGTAATCTTGTGCTCACACCTTTAAGAGTTATTGATTGTCAGAAAAAAAGCTTCTGAATGATGAGATGGGACTAGGGAATACCTTCATTTTAGTCAGTGCAGTGTTCTGAAGGCTCACTTGTCAAAAAACACTTCTTGTGTATTGAGAAACAGTGAATTACTTTTGAAAGTAGCTTTTTAAAGTTTAAAATTGGCATTTTTGACACTTTCCCATTTTGGTTTCTAGAAAAATGTTGTACTCCAAGAAATGTTCTCAAAAATTAACACCCCCCCCCCAAAAAAAAAACAACAAAAAACAAAAAACCAACAACAGTCTTTTGGTAACCATTTTTAAAGACTTGTACTAGCATTATTCCCCTCCCCACTTACTGTTCCTGTGTTGAGCCTGCCTGGTGTTCTGGATAAGGAGGCTTCCCCTTCTGGCTTCTACCCATGCCATTCCAGCATGATGTTATTTATTCCCGCAGCACCATAAGTATTGGGCTGCATGCATAGTGTTTCCATCCCTGGAAAGTGCAGGATGGCTTGCGGGAATCCATTCTCTGCCTGGCAACATATCAGACTCTCAGTAGATCACTGAACAAGATTGATTTTATAATTTGGGGCATAACTATTTTGAAATGTGTGGAAAACAAATTGAACAGTAGCCTAAAGTTAAAGTAACTGCCTTGAAGAGGCTGGAACCTCTACAGGAAACAAGCTGTATTTCAATAAGGCATCACTACTGCCAAATGAAACTAAATTGTCATAACTTGAGCAGATGCCAGGTATTTTCAGAATAGAAGAGGAGGCCATTTACCCATGGACATGTCATCAAGTGGATTTTCTACTCTAAGGGAAAAATATTTTTAAAAGTTTGTTTCACTTGGTGGCAGACATCTGAAAACAGAGACAGGCTGTAAAGACTTCTATTAGTTGTACATAGAATTTGTAACATAACTAAGGTATTTCCTGAATATCTGTCACTAAGAATTATACATGCATTTACTTTTTAGATACTGGTAAGGAGAAGCATATTATTAGTGGCCTGAGGCAGGGGGAAGGAAAAAAAGAAACCTCTTCTCTGAGCTTATTGTTATTAGAGCAAGTATAAACACCATCTTTTTTTCTTTATCCTTCAGGAAAAAAATATTTGAATTGTTTTTGCATTTTCACATATTAGATGGAATCAGTGTATAAGGAAGCAATGAGATCTGGCATCAGCATAAAGTTAGTGTGTGAAGACTAAGGATAAGCGTATGCTGAAGCAGCAGAGAGCTGACAATGCTCTGGAAGAGCCTCAGGCTGCTGCTTTTGATTGTGCTGGAAACCCAGGTCTTGAGTATAACACTGGGGGGCCTCAGGGCACCCTTACGGCCCCATTTCCAGATCTGACTTGCATAGAGTGTGAGCACTGGGTGGGATTTGTTGCATCAGCCATGAGCTTTCTGCCACTGCACTGTAGGCATTCCCAAGGTTCAAGATCATGGCCCATGATAAGTCCCCTTTGTCACTCTAACAACTGAAACAAGCCAATAGATTTTCCTCAGAAAAACCTGAGGATTTCCCCAGGAAAACTTGATACCAAGGTTAGCTCAATACCAATTTGTTCCTTAAAGGAGGGAAGGATGAACCACTCTGGTTAATAGCCTGCCATTCCCATTACAACCCAGTATCACTTAGAGCAGTTCTGAGGTGGAATAGGTCACCAGTTTGTCCTAAAAAGTAGGGGGAAGAGGATTGCAAATGAACTCAAATATTTAGCTGTCACTGCAATATCACTGTATGCCAGTGAGGCCCAGAAATAGATGTTCTGTACTGTCTGACTGTCCCGCGAGCTCCATGCTCTCAGGACTAATGTGTGAAAACCAGGGACAGTCCCATGAATTTTTAAATGGGTAGCTGCGCTGCTGGTAAATGTGACTTTTCACCTGTTACAATTTAGCACCATGTCACATGCCTTAGTAGGTGCTTTCTGGTATGTAGATCAGGCCAGCATCAAACCCTTTGGGTCTTGTGAGACCACACATTGAGCTCAGCAGTGTTCACATAAAACTTTACATTGTACTTATACTTACTAAGTATCAATTTCACTATAACTGAATGCTTATTCTGGGAAATGGTTCACCCACACAGCTGCTCTCAAACACTTGCTAACTGTGTAGGCAGCCATTTAGGACCCCTTGTTTTTGGGAGCTCTACAGTCCTCAAGTGAACTCTTTTCCCTGTCATGACCCTGCTCCCCACCAACCCACCTTAAACAATAAGCTCTTCATGGCTCTCCAGGAAAAATCACTATCACACAACCCCTGTCATTTGCTGAAGCAATTCCATCTCTATTTCCTCTAGTTCTAGCCACCACAGTCTCCTAACAAGTTGATAAACTCAATCTTATAAATGTGTTACAAGAGTTATTGAAGTCAACTTGGATCCCCATATGACTTTCTTTACACAGAATACTGCAAAATATAGGGCCAGCTCAGATCTCATCTCTTCAAAAGATATACCATAGTTAATTTCCAAGCAAATCAAAATAATAAATTATTTCCCTTATTGTGACAGTGTCCTTAGAGATACAGTAGTTGAAATTTACATGCTGGTATATACAAACTTCAATGCTTTTGATTCTTGACAAATTTGGAGGTTAAAAACAGCCCTTCTAGTTAGTCCTCAGGTTCACAGGGAGAAAAAATAGCTTAAAAAGTATTAACTCTAATGTTCAAAACTAGAAAAAAGAAAATGAGTCAAACAGCTAAGCTCTATAGTTGGCAACACCACAACCAAGAGTGGAGCCAGGGGATACAGGAATATCCCCTTTGATTCCTGGCCCACCCAAAGTTTAAAAGCAATTGCTTGTCAGTGGCAGCAACATTTCTATTTAGGCAGCAGTGATGGAGTCACCTGACTCGATGGCTCATTATATTCTACCTGTTTCCTTCTAAACTCTTCATTCCATAGGGGTTAGCAACCCACTCTTCTTTTTAATGGCCTTGGTGTTCAGCTCATCAAGCTATCCTTTCTTCTGCAATTCTGCTGTCTCTAAGCTGCTCCTGGTAATGTAGCTCTTATTTCACAGCCCTGCAGATTGTTTTTAACTCTAGCCAAAAACATTAACTCGGGTGTGGAAATAACTTTTAGTGAAGCATTGGATGCACTGTCAAGATGTTCAAGAAGGCTAGATTTTGTATTATGGATCTGAAAAATTGTCCATTCAATTACAATGACTGCAAGACTACTGAAACAATGTATTCTGATTACTTTTTGCTTTGTTGTTATGGGAGTTTTTTCATATGTACTATATTATATAGCAAATTAATGGACATTCCAATAAATTTATATTTGCTTTTACTCCAATCTTAAACTGAATAATATAGCCCTAGGTTCCCAACTTATTAGTAAAGTTCCTAGTTTCTTTTTAACTTGATAAAACTACACATTGTTATATGTAATGATGTATCACACCATCTGCATCCCCTTTTTAAAAACCTAGGTCCAGCTACAGCCACACCTCTGCCACATGCCTCCAAGCTTGTTTGGTCTCAGACGTTTTTACTTAGACATCCCAGTTCCCAGGGGAGCAATCTGATTTGACCAAGGTTTGAATTCCCTCAGGGTAACGAGGACCTAAAACCTATATCTTCCACTTCCCGAGTGCTTTAACTATAAGGATATTGGGCAAAAAGTAGAGTTGTATCCCCATTGTGGTTTCTTAGTTGAATTCTATCCTGCCAATATGAGTTAGATATGCCACTCAATGGGCTTAGGCAAATCGCCAGCACCAAAGTGGATCACAAAGAAACTTAAGTGAGTTAGGTGCCTCACTGATCAAACTTGATCACTTCCAGACATGCACAGAAGCCTAGTTGTAGACACCAGAGGAAACTTGCAGTCCAAAATGGAGATACTACCTGAAATTATGTGTCCACTGAGTTCTGTGGCTGGTGAAGTACAGCCAAACTGAATCTCTTTTTCACACTTAGGGTGACATTACCTGTTACCCTTGGATCATACGTAGGACACTTAAAATGTGAGCATCTACATTGCTACACATTGCTTAAAATGTGAGCATCTACATTGCATGAGTCAGCTCATTAACTCATGCTAAATGCCTTCCAAGTTTCTCAAATTTATGCCACTTCAGTTGAGGGTTAACTTGGGCTGTGAGACCTACCTTGTGGTAAGGTAACTTCAGTCTATGACACAGACATAAAATGAGCAATTTGCAGTCCTCCAGCATCCCAGGATGCACCACCCACACCCTCTACCCCAACAGGGATACAACCCAGGTGTCCTGGTTCCTAGCCATGCCCTTGGCTCACCATCCCCGTCACCCTGCTCCACCCCCTGCCCAGTGACAAGTCAGAGCTGTGCAGGCAGGAAATGTTATTAACGTGTACCACGGGACCACTCACAGCACGTTTTAACTTTAACATCACTTTACATTTCACAGATTTAGTATGGTCTAAGTTTAAGGTGTCACTTCACCCTTAGATGGCCACATTTTATTTAAGTCCCTTTTAGTCACTGCTGAGACCAAACTGGAACTGATTATTTATCAATGGGAACTCAGGGGGGAAAAAAAAACCTCTCTCTTCCTCCTCTGGTTTCTTTTCAATTGACGGAAAGTGCCTAACAAGAAACTTCCCCCCCCAATGTAATTGTACCTTTCCAAACATCCATCAGTTAGAGAGAGTATTCTCCATTTTGGCTTGTAGCTCTGAAATGATCTACTCCATACAATACTATACCCAGGTAATTCAATAGCATTGATAAGACAAGATGTGTGACTTTTTAATGTGATCATCTTAGTCCAAAATATACTGTAAGGGGGAGGGTTCATTTTTGTTTTTGCTCCCACCCTAGAATTTAGTGGTGTATGAAAATTCGTACACCACTGTAGTGTTCATTAAAATTCAGCTTTTATAACTCTTTGTTGTTGTTAAGTTACTCAGGGCACATCCATATTGTGCCCCTAAGACCCTCTGAGAGCGACGCTATTCAGCATGCCCCGTTCTCACTTATATGTGCCAAATCCATAAATGCAGTAGTGAAGGCATTTTAGGAGCCTGGCATGCTTGAGAGCAGCCACAAAGACAGAGAACTTGAGAACAGTCACTGGGAGTGCCCTCAAGTACCATCACCACTGCAATTTCAGGCTTGGCAAATGCTGGAGAATATTGTCCTGTGAGTGGGCCAGGGATGTAGCTAGACAAGACAAGCAGAGGCCCAAAACTGGGCCAATTCATCATCATATATATTTGCTTATAAGTGATAACCACTCTACTGCCCTCTCTCTGTTTGGTAGGGCTAGTTAAGCGCATCTCCATAGTAACTATGTCAAATAGTAAACTAGATTTTCAACTAAAGAAGACACGTCTGCTTTCCTAAAAAAATGTTTGCTTTTTGGCAGAAGAGTTTTGCTTTGTCTTTGCTAAAATGGGGGAAATTATTCTTAAATGAAAAAACATATTTTCTATTGTGGGGAGGGGTGCATAAAATTCCATTTTCCTACCAATTCTACAGTTTGTATTTTTCAGCTGTAATTCTATTAGGGGAAAAAAATGCCACTTTGCTCTGTTTGTGGTGGTCTGTGCACAATGAGGTACAAATCCTAGTTTGGACCTTCAGACATTTTTTTAATAAATAATTTGCCATGACTGCAATAGTTCAAAGTCCACAAATTAGAAGTTATTTTTAGGCAAATCTTGTACAAAATATTTATTTTTCTCTCTTTTATGTGTATGTTTTAGATTTAACCAGCTCTACTGCAACAACAACTTATTTTTCCACCGTCTCCGTCTCATCCCCTAAGGCGGTCATTCCAGAGAACACAGTTCATCCTTATCTTATGCCTTCCTGTGGACCTTCATACTTGTCTTCACCCCAGCAGCCCTCCTCATCAGTTTTCCTCAAGGATCACAAAGACAGGGTTACACATCCTTTTCCTCCTTGCCTGATATCTGATGAAGAGAGCGAGAATACTAGCATCCTGAATCTGTTACCAGATAATTCAAGGGATTCTGCTGGAAAAGTGAACAGTTTTGAGAGCAGAACTCTCCGCATATCTGGTGGGAGTTGGGGGATATTTCCCACGCAGAACAAAGCAGCCATGTCTGACCATTTTATGCCTTCTGCTAAAGGCTCTTCTGATGTGGACACTACGCAGAAAGTCATGGTCACTCTGGAAGAGATAAAACATACAGTTTTTGGACTGCAAGGAGATATAGGTAACATGGCCAAGGAGCTGCAAGCCATTGGTAGTCAGTTGGCAAGTGTGGTCAGTGATCTTCAGCATATGAGCCAATTTTTGACAGCTCCCCAAAATGCTAAGGAATCCTTTAGTCAGCTGTAATTTTCACAATGGCTACTTCAGCTTTACTGGAATTTTCTGTATTTCCTTTCCTTAACAATATTTCACATTGGTCATCAGACCTTTTTCATAGCATTGAAAATTTACAGCCAGAAAGGCACGTGGCTGTTCTGTTCTTTTCATGGAAATAAATTATTCACATCTTATTCTTTGAGTTTTGTTAACATTTGAGCTACTCTTGCCATCTATTTCCCAGGAGTTTCAGCCTTAGGCATTCTCACAACACACAGGACAAAGCTTTTGCGTAAGCAGTTCTGCCTAGGCAGTTACTTGGTAATCAGCAATAAACCTATTATTTGCTGGGTGTCCTTATACTTCCGGGCCTGTGTCAAACTGTAAATAAAAACATTTTTGAGGAGAAAAATGGAAGTCTGCACCCCCTTTGAAGTATTACAGGTGTCATATTAAGGCAAACCATGAGTACTCACAAGAAGTAGGAGCCAGAGGGTGAAAGATTTAATGACCAAAATGTTGCAGGTTAGTTATAAGAACAAAAAACTGAAAATGACAAGAAGACAGCAGGAGGTGCACTGGGGAAGAGAAACCGGCAGAGAACCTAAAAGGCATCTCATATAACACAAAACTTGACTTATAACAACTACATGAATCATTACTTTTCCAGGCTGGCAGCCTACCTTACTGCACTTTTCTACTATTTGTTTCTCTCGTCATGGATTAGCTAAGGACTGCAGCCCTATATATTAAAAGCCACATACTCTTTTTCTTTCCAAAGCAAAGAATTAGCCCTTGGCACCCTTCCCAAGCTGAATCTTTTCTATGGGGTAAGAACTATTTCCATATGCCTCGAAAATGGTCATAGTGACATCACCATGATGTTCCACAAATGGGAGAGAAGCACGATTTCTGAGATGAGGTAATATTTTTATTGGACCATCTTGTATAGTTGGGAGGAACATCAGATAACCTTTTGGGCACTGATAACTCTTTATCAGGTCAACTCTTCCACCTGTTGAAGTTGGGCCAATAAAAAGGTACTATGCAACCTCACAAATCTTGCTCCTCTAAAATGCCTGGCAACTTTGGCCTTGCCTGCCACAAGAAAAAGTAGGTGAACCTGCTGGTTGTCCCTAAGCAGCCAACCTCTGCCCAATGTAATAGGTCCATTTTAAGACTGGAGACCGGGAGTTTCTGAGGATGAAGTAGCACCCACTAAATTCTACACCTAGCTAAAATAAATGCCACTAGCCCACCTACAGAGACTACATCAGCCACCACTAGTCAAAAAAAGTCTTCAAGCCCAATTTATTCCCACCAGCACCACGCAGGCTGTGCGGCATGGAGCCAGATATGTTGATTCTGCACATCTCTTAGATAGCCACTTACAATGTACTTTCTTTAGCACTCTAACTAGAATCTGATTTTTTTTTTTTACTTTCAGCAGGGTTGCTAGACAAGAAAATATTAACCACCTTACTTTCACTGGAATTGAATGCATCCAACAGTGCAATGGCCCCCAAAGGCACAGGGAAGTACATTTTACAAATCTTGTGCCCTTGGGGATAGCAGAGAAAGAATCAAGGTCTTCACTGGAAGGAAGATACAGATATGATTCAATTAGATAAGCTAAATAGGCTCAAACCACATACCTGGTTGGATCAGAGACCTCTAAAGAATACCTATGTACTGCAGTAAGTAGTGGTTGCAATTTGGATGTGGCATTTTCTCCTTAAAGCAAATATTTAACCGGTTGCTCAGTAAAGTGAATAGGAGTCATATGCTGCTCTAGGGCCTATCCACTGGCAGATCCAGGATTGTGGTGAAAGGGGTGCAGCTACTCCCACTTCAGCTGTGTGGTGCATGCCCAGTGAGTTCTTCGAGCTCCATGGCATGTCAGCGAAACACCTGCTGGAGCTCCACATGGCCTCTGAGTTCACCAGATTGTCAGTGCAGGGTCTGGCAAGAACTGCTTTCATATAGCTCCTGAGCCCAGGAAATGGGCACCACCAGCATTCATCTTCCCTTCCTCCCACTCTGCCCTGAACTCAGCAACAGGGGGAAAGAGGGGATGGGCAGTGACAGCATTCACTCCCTGGATTTCAAAGCCGCTTGAAAACAGAGACTGTGGCCAGAGCTTGTGTGGTGACCTCAGGACACATGCAAAGCCCTGCAGGCACTAAGCTGACATGCTAGTGAGATTAGAGAGCTCACAGTGCATGTGCCACACAGTTGAAGGGGGTCCAACTACACTGCCACCCACCCCTGGATCTGCCTCTGGTCCTATCTATCTTTCAGATGAAATATAAAACAGAAGTCCTGCATATCTGATATGCATCACATGAACTCTCTTCCTGGCCTCTTCATACAAGTAAGGGTCATTCAGTTTCCTAGGCAAAATATAAAGAGATTTTGGTTACCTTAAAATTCTTTCCTGCAATTTTACCTTAAAACAGATATACTTTACTTCATGTCCTGAACTGCTGCATAATGTTGCTTTGATCAATTGAAATTCATTCTTCTCATCCTAGGGATAACTACATTTTAGCAATGAGTACACTACTCCCTGCGATTAGTTTGCATATTGGTTTTAGCATTTGGGGATCTTTTAGGATGCAGGATGCTATATAAACGCATAGATGTAAATTGAGGAGGAGAACTTTCCAGAGAAACAAGACCTGGCAGAAAAGACCCCACTTCCTATGCTCTTGAAATGTTATAGCAGATGATCAGCGATTCCAGTCTTAACAGAGTCAGACAACAGGACAGAAGTTGATCCCTCAGATACACTTCTCATTATGTAAAGGTGCAAATGCTGCTTAAACTCTAATATAAATTGCCACAATTATCCAATATTTTCCATTAAGTGGGTCACCTTCCTCAGGGAGTGGTGCTTGGTGGCCACTGCTGCTGCTTCAGCCCCTTCCAAAATGGCTATTATACTTCACTGTTTAAAAAAGATATTGCAGCACCCATAGACACTTGCTCCTTGTGACTTTCTGGCAGAGGCTGTAGAAATTTTCTCCCTGATGTATTCTGTCTGAGTCATGCCTCTAGGGACTTGAACAGGGACTTGCCTGAACAGAATAGCCTCTTTGCCCCCACAGCCCTGAAGCTCCCTTGAAAGCCAGGATATATACTCTTAAACTAGGAGACAAGCGAAAACAACAAGAAGTTAATGAGATTTGTGCACCAATACAAAAGAACTGGCTGATGGCTCCGAGGGCACAGACGGAAAATAAATATAATGATAACAGAGGTTCATCGATTTGAGAAACTAAGAACTGGAAATAGAAGTGGAAATGCCAATAATAGACTCAGTGTGGCTGATTTCAAGTGGCGGTTTAAACACCATCTGATAAAGGACTAACAGGAGAATAAGTGACTAGTGAGCTTTGTTTGGAAGGGAGCATGCGGTGGTAGAAAGGATGGATGGCCCTGTTTGTCATGCTTCAGTGGAAGACACAACTGTGGTTAATCAAAACCTGTCTGGCAATGACAAATATATTAAAATCCACTGTGGGCACACCACCCTCCCCTTTCCAGAGAAGACAGTGACATAGCTCTGCTGTAGCTGCTGCTAAATTGAACTGTTTGATTCTCTTTTACATTTAGGGGAAAGACCCCTAATGGGAGGTTCCTGTTTGGGAATTAAATCCTCCCTTCCTCCCAAACCCATAAATGTGTCTAATAAATCCAGGCGCAGAGGACCAACAGCACCAAAGCACAGAGGAGATGAGGATTTGATGATCTGCATAAGCTGAATAACAAGCAGACGCTGACAGAAATTGCAATGCAAACCCTCCACCTCCAGATGGGGCATGGAACAACTGATGTTGGGCCATGTACCCTGGTCAAATTCAGTTTGGGCAATGGCGTACCCTGCTTTTTAACTGCATGTGCGATTATCTACTTCTTGTCCTATGCATCTTGCTAGTGCATCTGTTCAGTGTGAAACTTTAACTGGGTGAGACAATTTCATTTTAACTTAGATTTTTTTTTTTAGCAGCAGCCTGTACCTTTCATGGACAAAAGCAAATCCATCACA